TTGAGTTGCAACCCACTCAGTCATGGCAACCCCATGAAATTCTACTTTGGCCACTTCCACACTGTCATTTTTGTAACGCATTTGTCCCTATTGCTTTGGGCCCTCCCCCCCCTTTCCCACATGTGTTTTGCACCCCCTGGGAATACTGAAGAGAGCGAAACACATGGGGGGGGGGAATCTGAAGCAATAGGGACAAACGAGTAACAAAAATGACACTGCAGAAGTGGCCTTCTTGGGGTTTTCAAAGCTCCAGTCTTCCGTGGTGGTCTCCCATCCAAGTACTGACCCTCTTTAGCTTCCGAGCTCTGACAAGATAAGATTAATCAGAGCTATTTGGGCAGCTATAATTTCAGTCACAGTCCTCTAAAATGTTACTGTTAGGGAAGGGGCCACTATGAGTTAGCTGCTGATATCCAATTAATAGCCAGTCAAGGAAGGTGATCTTCCCAGCATCTCCACAATAATCAACCAGAGGCCCCTATAACCTACAAGAAGAGAAGGGATTGGGTTTATACCCCGCCCTTCACTCAGAATCTCAGAGTGGTTTACAAACTCCTTTCCCCTCCCCTCCCCACAACAGACACCCTGTGAGGTAGGTGGGGCTGAGAGAGCTCTGACAGAAACTGCTCTTTTTCAAGTACAGCTCTTTATCAGAATTATGGCTTGCCCAAGGTCATCCAGCAGCTGAGGGTGGAGGGGTGGGCAATCAAACCCGGTTCTCCCAGATTAGAGTCCACACACTTAACCACTACTCCAAACCAGCCAGAGGTCAAAGCCTCCTTCTGCTCCACCAATTGGTCAATTACATCTGAACATGGAAGTTCCACTAAGTCATTTGCCAACTTATCCTCATGAATTATTTCGGTCCCCTTTTAAAGGTGCCTAAACTAATGGCAATCATTGTATCTTGTGGCAGTAAATTCCATAAGATAATGATGCAGTGTGTGCAGAAGTTGTGAATCTGCTGCCTGTCAAGTTGATTAGATGCTTCAAGTTCTAGTATTACATGAATGGGGGGGCTTTGTTCTCTATATCCACTTTCATCCCACCGTGCCTAATTTGATACCCTTTCCCCAGCTCTACAATGTTCTTTTTGGGAGAAGGTGACCAGAAATGTAAATAATCATCCAAGTGTGGCCATACCATGGATGTATACAAGGGCATTACAATACTGGCAGTTTTGTTCTCAACCCCTTTCTAAAAGACCCTTAGCACAGACTTTGCCTTTTGCACCACTGCCAGTCCATATGCTATCACTATATATGTTTTAAAAGTTAGGATTTTTTTTTGTCCCAGCATGCATCACTTTACACTTACTCTTTCACTCTTTTCAGTTGTTTTATCAAGTGCAAAGGGAGTACACACGATGCTCTGGGTACATATGTTTGCCATTTTGTCTGAAAGGGGCAACGTGCTGAAAAATCAGGGTTCTGGCACACACATGTACTCTGAGGCTGAAAATATGTACACCCAGCCTTTCAGACAATCATGTATAGCACCTTCTCCCCAGACAGATGGGGAAAGTAACTATTCCAAGGCATAGTTCATCTATGGCATACAGAAATGTTCTCTTTCACATGATCTGAACATGTGTTTGCCCAGTTACTGTGTGGGCAGTAATCCAAATATGACAGGGGGCAGGATCCTTCCCAGGGCTGTTTTTGCCTCCCAGTATGCCCCTACCTGAACATTAAATCCAGTACTTCCATTTATCAGCACATTTGGGATACTACCATTAATGGTATTTGGCTTATGGGTAGGTCCCTGAGGAAAAGCAAAATTAAAGTGGTCATATTAGAAAAACACCTACAGTTCATAGCTACCCACCGCTTCAGTACGTCTTCTCCTGCTCTACTTTGCCCTGTTTATTTTCAACATCAGTAAACAATGCTTATAGACTTTGGTTCTAAACATCTACCCAGCCATTCTTTCTGTGGTGCTTTTCATCATTACAGATGTTTATGCGCAAACACTGCAAAGAACGTCTTTGAACACAGCCCATGAGCTCAGAAGGTCAAGGCAGTCTTTGAGGTGAGGAGATCTTTACCTCCTGCTTGCAGAAAACCACAACTGTCCTTTCTGGGAAATGAGGAGGAAAGAAGTGCTTGAAGGGATTTATGCAAGCAGCCCTTCCTGAGCTGCCCTTCCAAACAATCAGCACTCCACAATCAATCACTTTTGTTTTAATGGCCTTTTTTTTTTTAATATGCAGGGATGAGAATGCTGTAATGCAAAGTTCTTTTACCACCACCACCCCCCAGAATTATAAAATGACTTTCACAAAATTGTCCACTGCAGGTATCTACTGCACTGCACCTTCATCAGTATTGTAACTATGATTCTCACATCCTTAGCAAAGAGGTCAGGAGGCTTGCCCGAACATGTTTCTCCTCCACATATTTCTTCTTAAAATATGGCGGTCCTGAGCGGCTTCAGTTTCTGTGCAATGACACCAGTCCCAATGTGATCGGGCTGCAGAATGGGCTCTGCACCCATACCATCAATGAGAATACACTGAGCCATTTTTTATGCTTTGGGTTGAATCTCACGGGTCCATTCAGCTAACAATGCTGGCACCTTTCCTCCAGGACAAGGCGCTTTCTCCTGACACAACAGGCTCCTTCGCTGGCAGAACAGCCTCTTGTGCCAGATGAATATCATGCCTTGTGCTGGAGGAAGGCACCCCCATTAGTGGGATGGATCCATGGGATGCAACCCATATTTTCCTGAGAAAGATACTTCTAAACCAGTGAGGGACAAACAATCAGGGCTATTTTGGGGCAGGAACGCACAGGAACGGAGTTCCAGCTGGCTCCCAAGTTGGACACGCCCAGCAGGAACTCATTAGCATAATAGGCCACACCCAACAGCAGAAACTCATTAGGATTGGCTACATTAGGGGTGTGTGGCCTAACATGCAAAGGAGTTCCTGCTACAAAAAAAGGCCCTGGGTTTTGTCAACAAACAAGGTAAACAGAATAACAAGCATAAGGTGGGTGTGGCTGGATAACATGTTACTTCTGGTAACATGTGGGTGTGGTCTAATGTGCTAATGAGCTGTGCTGTCAGGGGTGTGGCCCAATATGCTAATGAGTTCCTGCTGTTGGGTGTGGCCTATTATGCTAATGAGTTCCTGCTGGGCTTTTTCTACAAAAAGAGCCCTGGTGCCAATCATGTTTTATCCTGGGCTTGAACTTGGTGTCTACACAGCACCAATCTCACAGTGCAGCCCAAGGCAAGCCTTTCCTTCTTCAGCTGGCTTCCTCTCCACTCCTAGTCCTTAGAGCACCTGCTGCCCAGAACTGCTTCCCTGCTGATCGTTCTGCGCATCACAATGTTGGAAGTGACTCTCCAGGAGCCTCACGGCCACCATGCTGCATGCCTCTGGGCCATCTTCTCCCATTTCTGGCAGCCTTGGAAAGGATCCATGCAGAGACCACTTCTAAGCCTTGTACTAGCAAGAGGGGTCAGTCACAAGCGGGGTGGGGTGGAGGATTTCTAGCAGAATTGCTGCAACAGACCTTATGGATAAAATGAACACATTAGCTGCTGTAGATTTTCCGGGTTGTGCGGCCGTGGCCTTGGCACAGCCACACAACCCGGAAAATCTACAGCAACTCATGAACTCCGGTCGTGAAAGCCTTTGACAACAAAATGAATACAATTTGTTCTGATCATTTATCATCACATTTTGTAGTAGTTTTGTTTTTTTAAAAAAAATGTTCTTCATCACATTCTTATGTAAAAGGTTCCCACAACCAGCTTGTGACACAAGATATTATTCCCATTTTACTGATGGTCAAAACTGAGCCACCTAGTCATCTCGTGGCTCCACACATATTTCAAACCAGGTCTCTCAGGCCTAGTAATTGTGTACCACCCAGTTGCAACCAGGTAATGGTGACCCCAGGTATATGAGGTTTTCAAGGCAAGAGATGAGCAGAGGTGGTTTGCCTTTGCCTTCCTCTGCACAGCAACCTGGTCTGATCTTCCTTAGTGGTCTCCCGTCCATGTAGTCAATCCTGCTTAGTTTGCAAGCTCTGACAAGGTCAGGCTAGGCTGGGCTATCAGGTTTATCTCTCAGACCTAACACTAGTCACCGCAGGACCTCTGGCCCTTTGCTAAGTAACACTGCCCTCAGAAGCCGTGGACACAAAGGACAAGAACTGGGTGACTAAGGATTCCTTTGCACAGCACAGCCTTGGGATTGAAGGCTGCTGAGAAAGAACTTCTGCAAGGAAGTCTTCCACCCAGCCTCTGTCATGTTTGAAATCCGCTTTCCACATGGGTTGACCTAATCAGACGATGCAAGCCCAACACCAGCACTACACAGGTCTGGTCACTGCTCGGGCTGTTCAGAGAGAGACATTGTAAGACAAAGAGGCTTTCAAAGGTTGCTGTCACTCACAAGGAAGCAGCTCCAAGAAGCCCCCAGTCACTCCAAAACCCTGAGAACCGTCTCCTACACAACTCTAGGGCTTCACTTTAGCTACATTTCCATTTTCTGATTCTTCTCCAATCCTACCCTTGTGCATCAACCCCTGGCCTTCCTTTCCATTATGGTCTGACCATCTAATGTAGGTGATAAACCGATTCAGCCAGCACTGTGTCACGTTTCTGTTCATAAAGCACCTGGCTAGTATGCACTAAGTGTTGCACAGTTCAACTTCCCAACAGCAGCTTCAATTTCGGCAATGCAGGGGATGCTGTTGACAGGATGGCACAACCCATCCACCATTCCACTTTTTATTTCCTCCAGTTAAGATTTGGAAAGTCTTGGAAAAACAGACACTGATCAAACTCTAATTCATTACATATCCCTTAATGGGAATGTGCTATATCAGGATCAGCAAAGATCAGCTAGAATTTAGCAGGTGCACCAGCTGCATGAATGTATCTGCTCTGCTGTAATGGGACACATGACTA